TGCAGTTGCTCAACACTAACAGAGATTCATGTTTCTGAGTAATGACAGAAATGTTGTTGCCACACTGGAGTCCATTTTGAATGGATGAGTGTTCATGTTTTGATGGCTTTCTCAAGCAGGGGATAAGAAATACTCAGCTTTGTATTGGGTAGTGGCACTCAGCCTAACATCACATCAAAATGGGGAGGGAGACGTACATCATACCATTGCCCAATCTGGAACTAATTTGATATTATAAGCTTTATAAAACTTTATAAAACTTCATAAAGCTGTAAGCAATTTTACAATATTTCAGGAGTTTAGAATACTCATTTACTTCAAACAGATCTGACACAAAAATTCTTATTCTTTTAGGCTTTTTGAGTAAAAGAATAATAATAAAATGTAGTATCAATTACAGAGCACAGGATTTTTTAACACAGTCTTCAGAATACTATTGAAAAACTATTTGTAGTGTCAGCAATTTCCCTGCCTAAATTGATACTTTTTTTTTAATTCATCAGAGCTTCTCTCAAAAATATGCACAGTTTTGATTGCCCAAATCCTAAATTGTGGCTTTGCTTTCTGAATGTTTTTTTCCCTTCTAAATGTCTCTTATACCAAACTCTTACATAGAATGGGAACGAGTTCATCACTTTATGCATCACTGACAAGACCGTCTTTGGCAATGACAGTTTCACCTTCTCTATCTCATATTTGTGTTATTTGTAAAGATAAGAAGTTTGAACAAATATTAAGTTTTGAGAAAGCTTTTCCTAACTAGATGGAAAACAATCAATCCCTCTTTTTTCTTGAGTGTACATCTTGGCACACCTAAATCAGTATATACCAGCACTTTATTTACTCTTACGTGAAAAGAGGAACATGGAGAGATAAGGAAATAGAGGTGCCTCGCGTGCAAGCATTTGTAAAGGGCTAGCTAAAAGAACATTGGGATTTTCTTTGGAACTGGTGAGATGATCATTTATTTAAAAGTTGTAAAGAAAAAAACCTAAGTAATGATGACCACATTCAACTGATTCAGACAAAATAATAAACTAGCTGATAAGGGATTAAATTAAAAATTAAATAAGTAACAAGCTGAATATCATCTTTCAGAAAACAGATGTTGTCAAACTATTTTAATTTTTTTGATACTACAAATTTGCCTGACATCAGTAGCTGATAAATATATTTAGAAAGGGAAGCAACGAGATTCTGCAGTCTGACCTTCTGCCTAGCACCATCCATACTAGGCTGAAGTCCAATCTTTGTTGCTGGACATGTGTTTCAGAAAAAATGTTCTACATTTACTTTTTGATAGTAAATAGGGTGAATTCTTACAAGCCAGGATAACTTGCATTGGTGGTTATTTTCCTGGCAAGTTAAAATCTATGTGTGGTATTTATATTTGGTGGTTTGCACTTTCTATACAATGAAAGCTTAAATCCTTAAACAGCTGGTAAGATCTAAGACTCCCATGTTACCAAATTTCCACTCCCATAAATGCCACAAGATTATACTAACAAATATAAACCAATCATGACCGGCACTTCGTAGGATTCTCATGACTGTTCTTGTGAATCTTTTAACAGTTTTGACATCAAAACAGTGTGCTATTTTAGTTTTTGTTATGCAAGTGTCAAAAGCAGAGAAAAAAAACATTTTCTCCACTTCACTGTTTTCTGTTCATACTTCCAAAAATCGTATTAGTTCTCTTGGACCTGGCATCATGATACATTTTCATATTCAGCTGATGAGCTATACAAATCCTTATGTTTTTCAGATTCAGTGTTTCTCAGGTAAAAATCAGAGAATCAAAGAATTGTTAAGGTTGGAAAATACCTCTAAGATTGAGTCCAATCATTATCTCTTCATCCTATATACGTATCTACTGATATGCAACCATTATGGAACATAGTTTATTTGCTTACATCTTGTTTAACAAAACACTTTGTCCCAGACATTGGACAGAAATAAACTAGGAGGAGGTCACCTGAGCTTTTTTCACATGTGCATTAGAAATCATGTAGTGTTTTCAGAAAAAAAGAGGAAAAAAAAAACAGAAAAAGGCATGTTTGTTGCCTTACTCTGCAGAAAGAGGAAACGTGGAAATCTTTGATGCAGAGATTATTTGGATCCATTTTTGTATTTTTTTCAAAAATGTCCATGACTTTCAAACTTCTGAATTTCTCATAGAGGAACAGACAGTGTACTCTACAAACACAAAGCAAGAAAGATGCTTCTCCAGACCAGTCAAGAGTTGATGTCATTACTCACATTAGAGTGGGGGTGAGCTGAGAGGAGGATGCTCTGTTATGCTCTTCTTCAAGGAGCAAATAAAACCCATTCATGGAGACACATGCCAGGCTATAAGGGCTTTCATCTCATCAAGTGCAGCAGTTCATAATACTTAAGTATATTGCTTCTGTAAGAGCAGTACAACATAACAAGAATTGCCTCTCTCCTGATATGACTGGAAAAATTTTACATTTTGACCTCCAAGCATTCATGTAAATACTTCAAAAATACTGTTTTTGCAGCCAAATGCTGCAAAAGCTTCTGGGAGAAGCTTTTCTGATGCAAAAATTACCAGAAACCTTTTTCCACAGAATTCAAAGGAGGGCAAATAAAACAAAAGCAGGGCAGGAACACTGGCTCAGCATCTTGTGGTAATGAGCAGAAATAACTTAGCCTTCAGGAGACATGAAGTCTCAGTGTTTACTGCTACAGTTACAGAATAGCTGTGTAGCATGTTAGACTAAACAATAATAAGTTAATAATTAATAAATCCTTGGCCTCTAAATTGTACATTTAAACTTGCTAACTACTCATCAGGTAGTATCTCTCACATATAGAAGAAAAAAGATTATACTTGGTTCAGCTGTATAGTTTGCTACTGTAGACTGTTCACCACAACCATCCACCTCCTAAGACAACAGCTTGATAAGTATAATTTTAACCATCAGTGATGGTACTTGCCTTCTTCAGCCACTCATTCCCACTACTATTAGTCATTTCAGCCGTGTCAAAGGAAATCCTCACTACATAGTAAGGTGTATTGGAAAAATGATCTCTGGAATAATTTTCTTTCTTTCTTTCCTTCCTTTCTTCCTTTCTGTCTTTCTTTCTTTCTTTCTCTCTTTTCTTTCTTTCTTCCTCTCTTTTCTTTCTTTCTTTCTCTCTTTCCTTTCTTTCTTTTTCTTGCTGGATGATTTTTAACCCAGACTGTTCCTTAACTAAGGGAATTAAGTGACAACATATCTACAAATTAACCCACATCAAACCCACAATAATAAAAAAACCCGACATTAAAGTCTCCCACATTGAACAAAAGCAGTAGAGCTGAACAGACAAAAGGACAAGTTTCCACAGTGAGAATTTAAACAAGGAAAGAAGATAACAGGCCTTTAAAAAGTACTTATTATTAACATCCTTCCAGACAGAATTATTGGTAGAGTGGCTCTTTTCTTTTTCTTATTATAAAAATAATTTATAACCTAATCCAAGATAAAATTAGTCCACCTATATTATCAATATATTTTTTCCTCAGCTTTCATTCTGCCATGAAAATATTTGCTGCAACACACCAATCAGTAGAAGACACCAATCAGTTTGTACCTGGTTTCACAGGTAGTCTGTGCAGTCTGTGGACAAACATGTCACATGAAAAATTTTGAAAGTCTATACACATGTATAAACTATTTTGTAGAGTCAAGCACAGCTATTAAAGCCCTGTACATATCACGTAGAGGGCTGAAAAAATAAATATGTGGTAACATTTAAAAGCTTGCATTTTTGCCTTGCTTCTGAGAGTAAGCCCAGTCTGAAGCCCTGTCCCTAGTTTACCGGATTTAAATGAGCATGCACCCCTCTTATCTCATTACTCATTCAGATTGGGAGATGTGGATCATTAAGCTGGGTACTAATTTGCTCCTAAACTGCACTCATTCATCATGAGTTGGCAGTGAGAGGTTGACCAAGTCAGTTGTGGAATACATCTGTGACCCTCCCATGGATTGTGTATTTTCTGCATGAGTTACTTAATAAATTCTCTAGAAGTTATTTTAACAGTTTTAGTAGCCATTTTTTTTAAGCACAATGATTTCTGTGGTCAGGTCAGATACCTGGTTAGATACAGAGGTTGTATTCAAAACTCATCTTCTATAATCTCAATCTATATGTTTAGTATTACCTTCTTTATTGTGTAAAAAGGGTATTTCTGTACTGTTCTTCATAAAATGACATTTCTGATGGACTATTATGATAAATCACAACAGAATCTGGTATTGCACAGAATGATGTATCTTCACTGGGGATAACGCTTTTGTCAGTAAGGGTTATCTACACTGGGTGAGGAGGGGGTTTCTCTGAGGAGATTCATGTAATTGCTAAGGGATTCTTATATGTGCTTCTGACTTAAGCTTCTCTCTCATGAACACATTCTGCAATAACTTAACTTGTGTCTCAGATTATTTTTCATGATAAAGATATTTTCAGCAATCATTTGTTGGATGGAGAGGTACTAAAATCCATAATATGATTCATCATCATGTGTTGTGCCAGCCATGTTTAAATAAACAGTAAATCTATTGTAAATATTTTTACAAAATGTATGGTTATGAAAACATCACAACAGATTGGGAATTAAACACATTTGCAACACATAAACTGTCCAACACTCTAGGTAAGGAAACTTCTGTAATAGAAATTTTACAGAGAGCACTTTTTACCTACTCATAGACATCTGGGGTTTTTGCCAGCTTATAATAATTTGTAAAAATATTAACATAATACAAGTTAGAGACAGGAGCAACACAAGAAATCACTCGTTTTATACACAAAGCAAAATTGGATTCTTATCACCTCTTAATATTGTAGTATTTTTGTTTAATAACTAAAAGAAATCACATATTGTGGTTTTTTTTTCCCTTGGTGTAGAACTAGAACTGTTCACCCTTAAAAAGAAGTAGACAAATATTTATATATGTAAATTGAAATGTACTAAATCACTGAATTACCTAATTTTTCAGAGGGAAGAGAAACACTGCTTTTTCCAGGACCCAGAATAACAGCCAAACCTTCAGATAGTGATGGAAGGATGCTGGTACTGAGATCTACGCGAGTTAGGCTTTCAGGTTCTCTTTCCAAGGCTTTTAGAATACCTCCAACACAGTTATTTTCTGTCCCCTCCTTGTTCTGACCGTTCTTCTGTGGACTCTGAACAATATGAACAATGCTCTGCTGGGCCAAGTCACACTTCTGCAACACAAAACAAAAATCCCAATAAGTAATTAATTGTGACATAATGGACAAAATTCCTCTATCTCCAACGTGTTATTTGCTAAATTGTCTCCAAGTCACTTTGTGGAGAATTTCAGTGGATGGTAATGGAGTTTAAAGCAAAGCGACAAGGGTAAATTGTTGGAATCAGGATTACTTGCATTGGCAAAAGGGTCACAACACTTACAAGTTTTAAACATTTAACAAAGAAACGGTGGACAGAGCCAACAGCTCTAAATAAGTCTGGTTTATTGGCACAAATGAAAAACTCATAAGGTAGCACTACTAAATCAAGCACTAATAATATTCAACGCTTAATAGGCACTCGCACAGATAATGCTGATACACACTCTTCATGCAGCAATTTAACGTCAAATTTGATTATCACAGAGAGTTCATGAAGCTCTCTCAAGCTACTACCAAGTATTTTTATAAACAGAAACAGGGAAGATGATGCTACTGATGGAGACTGATACTTATTGCTTCTTTAGATAGCTGATGTCATTGCAAAATCTCTCTCAATTTTTGAGCAGGCTTGGGAATATGGAGAAGTCCCAGCTGATTGGAAGTTGGTAAATGTTGTCCCAATTTTCAGGGGCAAGAAGAAGGACCCTGGAAACTACAGGCTTGTCAGTCTAAATACAGTGCTGTGTAAAGTTATGGAGAAGATTATTCTGAGAGGTATTGAAAAACATGAAAGACAAAGCAGTCATTGGTCACAGCCAGCATGGAAAGCCCTGCTTATCCAAACTGATTTCCTTCTATGATAAGGTAATCCACCTGGCTGATCAAGGGAAGTCAGTTGATGTAGTCTTTTTGGATTTCAGCAAAGCTTTCCTTACTGTCTTTCACCATATCCTTCTGGACAAAATGTCCAAAACAGCTGGATAAACACATCATGTGGTGGATGAGCAATTGGTTCACGGGTCAAGCACAGAGGGTAATAGTGAATGGGGTAACATCAGACTGGTGACTTGTCACTAGTGGGGTTCCACAGGGCTGCATCTTGGGCACAGTGCTCTTCAACATCTTCATAAATGACTTGGATGCAGGACTGGAAGGGATACTAAGTAAGTCTGCAGATGATACAAAACTAGGAGGAGCTGTTTATTCCCTCAGAGGAAGGGAGACCCTACAGACAGACCTTGATAAATTAGAGGACTGGGGCAATCACCAACCATTTGAAGTTCAACAAGGGAAAGTGCCCAATTCTGCATCTGAGATGGGGCAACCCTGGATGTTTGTACAGACTGGGGAATGAGAAGCTGAAAAGCAGTGCCACGGAAAGGGACCCGGGGGTCCTGGTCAACAGCAAGCTGAATGTGAGTCAGCAGTGCCCTGGCAGCCAGGAGGGCCAACCGTGTCCTGGGGGGTATCAGGCAAAGCATCACCAGCCAGTCGAGGGAAGCGATTGTCCCGCTCTGCTCTGCACTGGTGTGGCCTCACCTGGAATATTTTGTGCAGTTTTGAGTACCACAATACAGGAAAGATACCGAGCTATTAGAGAGCATCCAAAGGAGGGCAATGAAGATGGTGAAGGACTTTGAGAGGAAGCCGTGTGAAGAGCGGCTGAGGTCACTTGGTCTCTTCATCCTGCAGAAGAGGAGACTGAGGGGAGCCCTTATCACAGTCTATGACTTCCTCATGAGGGGAAGAGGAGGGACAGGCACTGATCTCTTCTCTGTGGTTACCAGTGACAGGACTCAAGGGAATGGCCTGAAGTTGTGCCAGGGGAGGTTTAGGTTGAATATTAGAAAAAAGTTCTTAACCCAGAGGGTGGCTGGGCACTGGAACAGGCTCCCCAGGGAAGTGGTCACAGTCTGGCAGAGTTCAAGAAGCGTTTGAATGATACTCTCGGGTGCATGGTGTCACTCTTGGGGATGGTCCTGTGCAGGAGTTGGACTCGATGATCCTTGTGGGTCCCTTCCAACTCGGCATATTCTGTGTGATTCTGTGATTCTCCCTAATGTAATTTTCAGTCTAAATCTGGTTTTAGATATAGACTCAGTATTGAGTTTCCCATTGTGTCAAGAAATGACATTTAACTGTTGACTTTAGAGTTAGAGAAAGCCTGTGGAAGATCTCATGACTGCTATAGTCTTTGCTGATAAAACAAAAGGATTGCTAGCAATTTTGGCCCAATTCAGGATATCATTTTGTTGTCTCACATATATATAAGCTCTTCCTCTTTTTCAGTCCTCAATAGAGGTGATTCTTAGATAGTCTTTCCAGATCTTTTGTTTTAGAAAAAAAGTAGGATGAATGAAGATCTTAAAAAACATCTATTAATGATAAATCAGGATAAAATTCACATCTTGTACAGCATTTCCCTAATACAGAAAAGAAAAGTAAAATATTACATCAGAATTAGAAATCACAGAGAATTTAGAAGACCTATCATTAATGAAGGGCATTCAAGAAAGACTTGTATTGATCTCTCCACAACTCACCTTGCAACAAAATTTGTTCTTTTTTGCGTGATACCTTCTGGAGACCCACACCTTGTCTAGTGTCACGAATGAACCACACACAAACATCAATCTACACAGAAAGTAGTTTGAATATCCCTCAGGAAATTAATTTTCCAACTCTTTGCAGCATCATTAGGTTGGCCATCTCTGTCATGAAATGTCAAGACAGACTGTTGACTACATTTGGGAGGAACAGAAAAAGAATTCTAAAGCATTTGCCTCTGTATCTACAAAATATTTAGATTTTTTAGTTTAGACTATAGTAGTTTATATTACAGATGCAATTATTGCATGTACTTTTAATTGCAAAAGATTCCTTTATAGATATTTTAGTGCTGTTTCTACCCTCATTATTACCCACTTTCTCTTCTACCACTTTTTCAACTCTGGTCTCCTCTCTGTTTGGTGGCTTTCCTTCATTCTCTTCAATTAATTCTCAGTACTTCTCTCTCCACCCTTGCAAGGCATTTCTAAAAGATAAAAATCTGTTGTTTTGTTTTGTTTTAATTGAATTTTTAATAACACACTCTCTCCTTAGTGAAGCAGTAATCAGTTAGCAGAGATTTGTCAAGCAAAGATGTTGCAGTCTTAATATTCAATCAAAGCAGTTATTAGATTTCAACTTTAAAACATTATGTTGACATTAAAGGTCTCCTTTTTTCTGTACAACTTGTTGCCCTCAGCATTTTAACAAGATCCCTTAAATAGTTTAATAATTTCATTCATTAATAAAAAATCCAAAACATGTCTGTCACTCTAAAACTTCTCCAAGAATACTGCATGACATTAAGGAATTTAATAACCTAAGAGAAATTAATAATGAATTTAGTAATCTAGGCAAATGAGGAGCTCAAAAGTGATTTGCTCAGTTACAGTGAGAATTAAAAAAGAAAAACAGGTATATATGTAAAAACTCACACCTTCATAAACCCCTAATAAACTGCCAATCAGTCACACTCTGTTTTAATGAGCATCTTTTCTGGCAGTTTTGCTTGCTTAAGCAGACCCTGTCCTGCCTTTCATTTTTCTCCCATCATCTACTATCCTTCTCAGTTTTTTTTAAAGCTTGCATCAGTTCCTGATTCAGTTCACATCTTAATGCTGTGCAACAATTACACTGAGGAGATAGTGCACATGAGAGAATAAGAGGGATGGCTACGGCTGGTTTAAAAAAAAAAAAAAAAACCCCCACACCACCACAACCTTTTTGAACCACTCCTGCTTGATCTTGACTCCTGTACACATTTAGATGCCTGGTTAAAATTGACTGATCTTTTAAAAGTATACATTCTTTTCCAGTTCTTTTTTTGCAAGCTGGAGGGTTATGTGGTTAGCTCAGAAACAAAGGAAGGGATGACAAAATAGAACTCCATCTTACCTACTATTCTCTCTCCAACGATATCAAGAACTACATACTTCAGAAAAAGATGTAAAATATGCACTTTGGGCATCTATATATCCATATGACTATAGCAATAGTGTATTTCTGGATTTCATTTGATAAAAGTTTTCATTTTAAAAGGGTAGGAGAACCTGTCGTGTCTTAGCTTTCTTGTATCTCTTAATCAAAAACAAAAACAAACTTTGAAAGATTGAATGTCAGTCAGTACTGATGATGATAGTGTAGATAATAGTCATGGGAAAGCTTAATTAGGAGATCTCAGGATAATTTTTCAAAGATAGTGGGGAGAAGAAAGAAACAACATCCTCATAAATACACTTTGCAGATTTGATATGAAAGTCACTGAGCAACAGTAAACATGGAAATCCAAATCATCCATTTTGTAATGTTTCTCATTACATTTGAATTTAATTTGGCTTGTGTTTAAAGGAGGAAAGTAATTCTCAACCTTGGTGAGAAAAGTGATAAAACAGCACAAGAAGAAAATAAAAAAGGGTTGTGATCACATCATAATTGTGGAGAGAGTTGGATGGGAATATCATCTAGCATTGAGCAGAATTTGGGTGATTAATACTTTATAGCAGACTACATTTCACAGACAATAGATGGGCTAGGTCTGCAACTTTTTCTTTGAAGTAGAATTCAAACTATTTCTGTAAATGTTTAGGTTTTGCCTCCGGTTACTATTGTAAGATACAATTGTTTATGTCAATGTCACTTTCATTTTCTTCATGTATTTGTTTTACGCCTCAGGAAACATTCTTTTGAGAATATCTACTATTAAAGATTCTAGAGATATTGTCTTGTCTTATCTGTTGATCCAAATTAATGCCGGTGATCCATATTCCAAAGGGGAACACTGCAAGTGTATATACTGTAGATTATGAAGTATTTCCCTCACTAGAGCAAAGGGAGCTGAGACGATCCAGAAATAATGAAACTCAGTGTAAAGGACTGGTTCTTTAGAGACAATGACGTTTGGCCAACTTGGGAAAATGAATTCATAGCAGAAGAAATTAAAACTTGTCTCATTCAAGCCTTTTGCTTTTTTTTCTCTTTTTTTTCTGAATTCTCAAGTTGAATTTCACAAGGCTGAGTCAGCATGT